GCCTGTGTGTGTGTGTGCGTGTGTGTGTGTTTGCCTGTGTGTGTGTGTGCGTGTGTGTGTGTGTGTGTTTGCTTCTCTTTGTAATTTAACTAAAAGCTGAGAAACCTGAGATCACACACTCACACACACACTGTTATGTGAAGCGCCGTGTCTTTGTCTGTGATGTCAACATGTTATTGGTCTCCAGGCAGCTCCATAAACAACAGAACGCTGCGTAAAGGGACGATGCCCTCATATGGAAGATTTCAGACACCTCACACTCGTTCAGAGTCTCCTGGAAATCAGAGTGGAGCAAACCGGAGATCCTCGGAGACTCGCGTGGTGAGTCCAGCATCTTTACACATCTTTATTTTCACCTAAACATGTTAAGTCTAAAGCTTTTGGCCGGAAATTTGGGGAGAAGAATGAACGCGTCTGGTTTTTAAATGGCTTTTTGTCTCTAAAAAGAGAAACCAAGTTGGAGAAACGTAGCATCTCATGCCAAGTGTCAAGCACGGTGGAGGAAGAGTCATGGTCTGGGCTTGATTTACAGCTACAAAGGCAGAGCTAGTCCAAACTGAGTCATCTACAGCAAAAAAGACAACACAAAGGCTGAAAAGAACAAAAATTCAAGGTGCTGCAAAGGCCTAGTCAAAGTCCAGACCTCAATCTGATTGTAAACAGTCTGATGTTCTCTTGCTTCAGGAACATCAGACTGAAGCAAGAGAGGTTAAAAGTTCCTCCACATTGATAAACAATGACAAGAGTTTATGCAACAAGCTGTTAAATCATCTATTATTTATTTTTCTAATAATAAAATAAACATAAAACGGGTGATTTATTGATTTGGGACAAAGTCTGCGTTTATGATGCCAGCAGTATTCCAGTTTCCGACAGAGTCATTTCAGGTTATGCAAATATAAACGATAAGAGATCATGTTTTACACGCCGACGTCACTTCATGTGTAAGGAGGAAGAGAGAAAATTACGACAAACAAACCACAAATTATGACAGAGTGAACCAAGAGAGAGGACTGACGAATGAGAGAGAGAATTAAAACATCGCAAACAGAGAGAAGATGAGAGCAATGAAGGACTCAGAGCAAATGGAGTTTCTTTCAGGCCTGGAGGTGGATTAACAAAGCTGAGCTGCAGCTCTTTTATTATCCAAACCTGATTATTCAGAGGAATCTGTCAAAAATGGTCTTTTTTTATATCAGAGATACAAATGACTCAACAAAACATTCGCTGTGTTTTAAGAGGCTGCGCTCTTACAATGACTGAAAAGACCGAGTAAATTTCCACCAGTAACTTGGAAGTTTTTTTTATTAATCTCAGAAATGTTCTAGAAAAACAACTTTTGAAAAATTTTTGATTTTTCCAACTTAGAAATTTCCTCTTTTTTCTAGAAAATTTCTGAGCTTAACCTCAAAATTTCTGATTTTATTTCTAGCAAAATTTTTGACTTTTCAAACTCTTCAATTTTGAAGATTTTTTCTAGAACACTTCTGAGATTTTTGGCAGAAATTTACTACTTCTTTTTCCTTTTTTGATCTTATTATATTTTAAATTGTTCATAAGGCCAAGTAGCTCCATGTATTTTTAAATTTCACGAAGGAAGAAATTTAAGACAAAGAACTATTAAAATCCTGAATTATGCCCATAAATATTGTGATAATCTCAAATCTTTATTTAAAATTTGATGATTTAGTTACATTATTGGATAAAAAAATCTGAATATAATTAAAAAGTTAATTTATTTCAGTAATTCGATTCAAAAAGTCAAATCCATGTAATACATTTATTGCACATAAGTGATGTACTTCAAGAAGTCCAAGAAATGTTGACTAATGAAACCAATAAGAAAAGGATTTTTTTATTCCTTAAATGACCAACAGTTAGAGCTATATGCAAGGAGTCCATTAGAATGTTGAGTGGAAGGAAAAAGTGCAGTAGAAAAAGTGCAAAGTCAACATTTTCAGCTGGATAAAATAAAATGTTGCTAACATCTATTGTATAATTACAACAAAGTGTTAGAGTCATACTAATAAAAAATAAAACATAAAATTACAAGAATAAAGTCATAATATTACAAAAACCAAATCATAAAATTAAGATAATAAAGTCATAAAATTACTACGACTTTATTGTCATAATATTATGACTTTACTCTCATAATTTTATTTTGAAATTCTTTTTAGCATAGCCCTAATGCTCTGT